CATCCCTGATCGATCTCCATGCTCCAGGTTCACTGGCTCTTGATATTCCTCAAACTCATTTCTACCTTGGAGCTGTTTCTGTGTGCCCTGTGCCTCAACACTCTTCCCTCATGTCCGGCTCCTTCTCATCATTCTGCTCTCAACAATGTTACCTCCTTAGAAAGGCCTTCCCTGACCAGCCTATCCAAAGCAGCTCTACCCATCCTCTGCCATCTCACTCAGTTTCTTTGTTTTCACAGTACTTACCAGGTGAATTATCTTGTTGCTGGTTTACTTACAGACGGCTTCGTCCTCACTAGAATGTAAGCTCCCACAGAGCTGGGACCTTATCTTTATTGTTCAGTGATGTATCGCTACAGCCTAGTACAGTGTCTACTACACAGTATTTATTGAAAGAATGACTCACAAACATTTGCCAAGTACATATTATGTGCCAACCACTATACTAGGTAATAACAATGGATTTTTATAATTAAGGAAAAATAGAGAGTGGAAGTAAGAATATTAGTATGAAAAGTAATTTGATGCTCTTTTTATGTTGACCATTCCCATTCTTAAAATGAATACTTTATATGATAAATTCTTTTCAGAATATTCTTTTGGCAGTGTAAAATACCAATATGCTTAAAGTTGTAATTATAATTAGTATCTCACTACAGCTTTAGAAGTTATCTAGATGATGACATTCTTCATTTTTTAATGCACATTTTACATATTAGTTCCCACTAATTAAGCCATCACTCAGTAAAATACTATCCAGGACTCTTCATGTCGTCACCATTTTCTCAGAATATGCATACAAACATTTCATCCAGTCAGAAAAATTATGACTCTGTAAAATCTTTCTGTTCTCAACATACAGAAATATTCACAACATGACAATAGTGGTTGTCAACTGTCCATTTATTCTGGCCTCAGATTAATTTACCAGCTGAAATCAAGCCAAGAAATGATCAAGTTCCAATTACTAATCAAGTTCATTTCATAACAGTCATCACTAAAGTTAAGATTCATCCCTCACCACCCAAAGCCTATTATAATAGAACATGTCCAAATGAGTTCAGGCAAAAGAGTTATGTTTCATTGTTACCACAGTACTTTTAGATCCATCTAATTCAGAACCACAGCAGAAAGCCTTAGTGTTTTGATGTAATCGTGCCAGTTACCACTATCATTATGACATCACCAAACACCTTATAGCAATGCGTCAACTAGAAAGAAGTAAATTTCAAGCTCAAGACACTAAACAAATGACATTTCTCCAGATCTTGTGTTTTCATATTTTATAGCATACGTTAAAACTATCATATCCTGCCCCAAATGTTGTAAGCGTTCAAAATATTAATATTTTTAAAGTATAATTTATAAAATGAATCAAATTTGGTATAACTAGGTATACCTACTCAAAATACCACTGTATCATACTAGATTTTTAAAACATAAGGGAAAAGGGTGCCTGAATGGCTCAATCGGTTAAGGTTCAGACTTAATTTAGGCTCAGGTCATGATCTCCCTGTGAAAAGATGGAGCCTTACTTTAGGCTCCAGGAAGGGCAAGGAGCCTACTTAGAGTCTATCTCTCCCTTTCCCTCTGATTACACATTTTGAATAGTAAGGTATTCTCAAATGCTTTCAATCAAATACATAAAGACATATTACTTGTTCTATTTAAAATAAGCTTCCAAGGGGCGACTGGGTGGCTCAGTCGGTCAATCGTCCAACTTCGGCTCGGATCATGATCTCACAGTTAGTGAATTTGAGCCCGGCATCAGGCTCTGCACTGACATTGTGAAGCCTGCTTGGGATTCTCTCTACCCCTCCCCAACTTGTACTTTCTCTCAAAATAAAATTAGCTTTTTAAGCATACTTGCCAAGAGAAAAGAGGGTAAGGGGAGGAGGGCTTTTGTTTTTTCTTTGTATGGAAATATATGAACACATTCATCTTATTTACAGTTATAAACCCTTACTTGATAAAGCTGAAAAACTGTAGGTACCAAAACAAATTAAATCTCTAAGCAAAGATCAAAAGTTCAGTATTCTCCAAACCACACTTGTTATTATTCCTATTTGATTTTACAACATTACCTTAAAACAATGTTCCCTTCAATATTTTCAGCTGATTCTATATCACAGTTGATTTTCTCTTTAGTCTAACTACATATTTCTATAAACGAATCAGTTTTAGGATACCTAGAATTTACCCACATACTGAAATAAACTCATTTCAATACCAGAAATTATTTGCTTATCCCCGATTTCATATTGGCCTTCAGGATTAAAATGATTGCTGACAAATACAGTCAGGAAACAACTCTTCATTTTCACAAAATTCTGAAATTGTTCAAGTTAGTCAAAAGATATACTGGACATTATTTCAAAACTATAAATTATCTTCAAATTCTCAGAAAGGTAAAAGAAATCCCTGCATAAATCAACTCAGAAGTCGTTATCCTGACCTTCACCATCTGCTCACTTGTAAAAGAAACTACACATAAGCTTTTCATCTAAGGTATAACTTTATAAAATTAATGAAAAAGTAATTCTAAATACTTATTTGCTCAAGAATAAAGAAGCATAAGGGTACCTGGGATGCTCAGTTGGTTAAGTGTCCAACGTCAGTTCAGACAAGATCTCACGGCTTGTGAGTTCGAGCCCAGAGTTGGGCTCTATGGTGACAGCTCAGGATTCTGTGCCCCCCTCTCTCTCTCTCTGCCCCTCCCCTGCTCACACTCTGTCTCTCTTCAGTAAATAAACATTTTTAAAAAAAATTTTTTAAGAATAAAGAAGCATAACAAAAAGTACATCATTATTACTGTAAAGTAAACCACTCTCAGCATATAGCTGAAAAAAAAATTTATTGGAAAGGCATGTCCTGACTTACCAATGGTTTATCACTGTCAAAACTGAGATAAAATATATGCTTTGTAAAGCTTTCCTGTCCAAATTCCTTCAACTTGGGTACTATTTATAAAGTATCTCCTTCTACTATATCCTTTGCTACAGCAAAAGTCTAGGGCCTGCAATACAACCTCAAAGTCCTTCCTTCAGTGACTTAACTTCTACTCACTATGAGGCTTTCTTCTTCATGGAAAACAATGGGGAAAATGGATACAATGCTTGGGTGACATTATATCTCCAAACATGTTATTATTACAAATCTATTTCAAGAGGTTAGGTTACAAAGATACTACAGATGGCTTTTGACAGGTACAGATAAATTGAAACCATTCCCTCCAACCCCTAGAGATAATGAAGTGTCCTCTCACTGAAGTTAACTTTAATTGTAGGATTCTAAGTACTCAGTAAGCATCAGAAACCTCTCAACTGAAGTTCCCCTTCTTAGGACAATGGTATACGTCTTAGAGAAGATAATTCCTACTTACATTTTTTTTTAACTAAATCCATGCCTACATTAAATTCCATTATTTCTAAAAGTGTTGCAGAACCCAACTTAAGAGAATGATTTTAAATCTAACTCTGGATTTTAAAATTTACATATGTATCAAATACAGTATGGGGACCATACTTAATACTGTGCTGTATGCTGGAAATTTGCTAAGAGGATAAATCTTAAGTGTTCTCATCACACACACACAAAAATACTGTAACTCTATGAGGTGATGGATATGTTAAACAGCTTGATTGTGAAGATCATTTCACAATGCACACATAAATCAAAACATCAAGCTATATACCTTAAGTATATATACAATTTCTACTTGTCAATTACACTCCCCCAATTGCTGGTAAAATTATATGTCTAAAAAAACCATATTACAAATTTCTAAACTATCACAGAATTGCATTATTTGAAATTTTAATAGCAACTGTGCCTAGTATATTTTAAAGAACAGAAAATGCTACCAGAAAAAAAAGTTCTCACCTCCAAATGCTGTTGCTACGTTTTTTTGTTTTGCAAATAGCTTTAAAAATGTATACAAAAATGTCAGTTACAAATTGAACTCAAAACATTTTGTGGAACAAGGTTACTTAGGAGTTCGAGAACCATCTAAAATTGTAGGAAAAAAGATTTACATATGTCAATTTTGATGGATAAAATATAACTTTCAGCTTCTCAAAGGGTTCAAGAACCAATTAAAGTGCCTTGAGGAATCGTCAGCGTCACATAACTTGTCACAGGCAACCCAAGCCTTATTTTTTTTAAGCCTTATCTTTTTTATCCCAAATGAGGGAAGGATTTATCCCAATCTGGTGGCTCCTACACAACTTCTGAGCGATGCAGGCATGAAATGGCTGTCCGATACAAACCGCTCCCTTCACACACTGAACGCGGCAATCTCCAAATCTTCCCTGAAGGGGCCAGGGAGAGGCAAACGCAGTAACACCCCCACCGCCCAGGGATCTATGGGCTCATGCGGGACGTGTCCTCCCCTTACGCCAGAGAGAGACAGAGCTGCGGGGAGGTGACCAGGTTTCACTGAGGGGCTTAAGTGCCCTCGGGGATCACTTAACTGAGGAGATGGCATCACCAGCAACCTCCTCCCGCCCCAAAACGCCGCAAGTAGCAGCTGCGGGCGTGGGCGCCGCAGACCCCGGCCCTCCCCGGCGCGCCCCGAGCCGCCGCAGCACGGTCGCAGCGACCTTCCCGCTCAGGCCCCCGTGAGCCCCGTTATCCACGCTGGCCACACACCCCACGAGGGCAAGGGAGGAGGCCGGACAACAAAGCGCAACCAGAGGAGGCCCCGGCGAGCTTGAAGTTGGGGCGCTGGGGCTGCGGCCCGAGGAGGAGCGGGCTGGCCGCCCGGCCGCGCGATGCAGGGGCGGACGGGACCGGGGACGCGGCCCGCCAGATGTCAGCCCCGCGGTGCCGGGGTGTCGGCAGCCGCGAGGAAACGCGGCGGGCGGGCGCGCGGCGGCGTCGGGGAGGCGGCCTGGGGGGAAGGCAGGCCTGAGAAGAGAAGGGAACGGCGGCGGGGTCCCGGGGCGTCGCGACCCCCACACCAGCGGGCGGGGGGAGGGGGGAACTGTCCCGTTACTTACCCGCCGCGAGACTGCGGGCTCCGCCGGGGCTGTCCTGGCCGCCGGCCTCCGGGACCAGGAAGCGCCCCCACATAGCGGCCGGGAGGGCCGGGGGCGCACGACTCCCCTAGTCCGTCCTGCCCTGCCTTCGCCTCCGGCTTCTTCGGCGGCGGAAACTTGTGCGGAACCTGCGGCCGCGGCGGCACCAGCGGGAGGGCGGGCGGTCTGGTTAACGGCTGCTCAGCGACTGGCGGGGAGCGCAGGGGCCAGATTCGCCGCGGCCCCGGCGGCGCCGGCTGCCATGGCCGAGCCCGCTGTGCTGAGGCCCGGGCGGAGGAAGCGGTGGCTCCGCAGTGACGGCGGCTGGGTCCCCGGCTGAGCCCAGGCGAGGATCACAGCCTCCAGGCGAAGTTGCAGCTGCGGCTTCTCTCCGCCCCCTCCGCCGGCAGAGCCGGAGCCCGAGCGGGGCAGGGTGGGGGCGGGGCCTGTCGGGGGCGGGGCCGCGGGCGCTTACATAACGCGTGCGCGGCGCGGGGCGGGAACTGCGGGCCGGTGCCGCTGGGTACCCTGAAGCCGGTTTGCTCGGTCTGCGACTGATGGGTCGGCTCGACGCACCGGCTGCATCGCTCCCTCCCCACCCCTGCGCTCCGCCCGAGGAGAAGAGAGGATGAATAGAATTTGGCCCCGGGCGTTATCTTTCGGTACCGCCCTAGCTTGGCCCTCCGGGCTCCTCTCAGGAAGAGAACAGGAAGACCTGTCTTCGCTGCGCAGCTAAGAAGCTCGCCTGCGAGAGGTTGAGGGACTTCCTACCTTATTTGAGATTGGGATGAAAGTCATCATGCATTCCAAAAACATCGTTTATAGATAGCTTTGGGGGACAGAAAAGAAGTCGTTTTCCTGAACTCGCAAATTCAATGGCGGGAGGTGAGGGGGGAGAAGAGAGCAAAATACCTACTATACAATAATGTGCGTAGGAAGAAGCAGAAAGGAAAAAGACCAGAGGGTTCAGAGAGGGGCCATACATTTTAATTTGGTAGCCCAGTAACTCAGAGAAGCAACCAGAGAGGAATCAAAATGGTACCAAAGTTTGTAATGGGAGTAACTTTTTTAAAAATATTTTTTAATGTTTTATTTATTTCTAGGAGAGAGAGAGAGAGACAGCGTGAGCAGGGGAGGGTCAGAGAGAGAGGGAGTCACAGACTGAAACAGGCTCCAGGCTCTGAGCTGGCAGTCAGCACAGAGCCCGACGCGGGGCTCGAACCCACGAACCGCGAGATCATGACCTAAGCGAAAGTCGGACGCTTAACCGACTAAGCCACCCAGGCGCACCAGTAATGGGAGTAACTTCTTAAAACCCTACACCTTCTTGTTCCTCCATTTGATCAGTCCCCACCTTTTATCTAAACCTAGAGGACAAGAGCTAGTAATCTGAGGAAACACTGAATGGGTCCACCATCGTCTTCGTAAATTTTACTCTTCGTTGGCAATATTAGGATCCTTCCAATATTTAGATACAAAATAGTCCATCTAATAAATATTGGTGGAGCACTGTAGAAGAAAGCGGTTCTACACCTGTCTCATGAATCAGAGACAAACTGAAAAGCAAGTCCCTACCTTCAACAAGACTTTGAGTCCAGAGATGCTTTTTTGTTTGTTTGTTTGTTTGTTTTAGAAGTCTGCTAATAACAAAGGCCTCGCTTTTCTATTTAAACACTTTGGAGTTGGGAAATACTGCTTAAAACTTTTAGAGGTTAAATTACATTTAGTGGTGTAGTTTATTACTTTCCACAACTGTGTTGTAATTTACTTGACTGCTGTTTTACATTTAGTCTCCCTCCAGTACAGTTCCACTGATTTCTCCAAATAATGAGCTGGTGGCCAAGGGTCACCTTGTTCTGAGGACAGAAAGTGACAGAAATATGAAAGAAGGATATGATTGGCTACTTTTCCTGATTTAAATATGCATGAGCTCATTTGAAAAGTTTAGGCATTCAAGTTTAGGAACTTGAATAGTGGACGTTCAGAACGAAGCCTAAAAATTAATAATAAATTCCAAAAAGAATTATAAAAAGTTATAGAGCTCTATCAAAGTATCCTTTTTTTCATGATTTATAGTTACCATGGTCTAATATTAGGTACAGTATTTGTTAAACACCAAACCTTTTTTAATACAGTTCTAAGAAATGTATGAATTATTACAGATAAATCTCGGTCTTTTGTGAGTTAAAAATATATGTATTTGTTATTCCAAAAGCGGCCAACTTCCATTCAATTCTAAGTAGTATCTTAGAAAAAAAAATCATTTGCTCAGCAGGTTTTCTACATGTGTTTTTACTAATGTGAAGGATGTGCCACTACACACACAAAAGAAAATGTGTTGCTGAAGATAAAAATATTTTAAATACCTATTACAGAGTAAGAAGAAATAGTAAAAACATGTTACTTTGACAGTTGGCACCAAACATAAAAATTTTTGTGTTCCTACTAATTAAACTTGAAAGGATACAGATCTAATGCAATAAAAGTAACTTAAATACTAAGTGAGAATATTCTGTATATAAAATAAACTGTAACCATTTTTTTAATAATATAGATTCTGAACTCAGATTCCCCCTACATCCATATTACACTCAGTATCCATGTCTCTCAGAATGATTAAAATTTACCATAGCAAAGTTTTGAGAGCCTAAGAACTACCTAACCATTACCAAACCTGATATTGTCAATTGGCATATTTTTGTTTTGTTATGAAAGTATGAAAAAAAGATAAGGAAAATCTTATAAGCAAAGACATTTATTCCTGAACTTAAGTCTTTCAATAATTGTTCTTGTAAGCAGAGATAATAAAAGCAAATAATGAAAATAATGACTGTGTGTATATATAAATACACTTGCTTAAGTGAAATGTAGATACTTAATATTTTGGAAGGAGACTTTTAGAAAATATAAACTAGATCACAAAAGAGTAAAATAGTACCAATAACACCATATTTAATATCAAACTATATTAAACTTTTCATTTAAAATATTGCATTCCAGGGACACCTGGCTGGCTCAGTTGATGCCATATGTGACTCTTGATCTAGAGGTTGTGAGTTCAAGCCCCATGTTGGGTGTAGAGACTATTTAAAAAAATAAAATTTTTTAAAAATAAAAAAATGAAATACTGTATTCAAAAAAGACATTATTTAAAAACAAAAAATATGGGGTGCCTGGGTGGCTCAGTCGGTTAAGCGTCCAACTTCGGCTCAGGTCATGATCTCGTGGTCTGTGGGTTCAAGCCCCACATCCGGCTCTGTGCTGACAGCTCAGACCCTGGAACTGCTTCAGATCCTGTGTCTCCCTCTCTCTCTGCACCTTCCCTGCTCATGTTCTGTCTCTCTGTGTCTCTCAAAATAAATAAACATTAAAAAATTAAAAACAAAAATAAATGTTGCGTTTGTAAATCTTTTGGAAGGGCACCTAGGTAGCTCAGTCAGTTAAGCATCCAACTGTTGATTTCAGCTTAGGTCATGATCTCACAGTTCATGGGATCATACCACCACTTGTCAGGCTATGTGCTGACAGCATGAACCCTGCTTGGGATTCTCTCTCTCCCTCTCTTTCTGACCTCTCTCCTCTCTCTTTCTCTCTTTCTCTCAAAATAAATAAATTTTTAAAATATTATTTGGATATAAATCTCTGATCAGATTAAGTTAAACTATCTTAAATGTGTTTTTCTCACATAAATTTGTCGTTTTGGGCAAACAATCATAGAGAATTGAAGAGTGATATAAAAAAGGAGAAAAGTGATATTTTAAAATTAGAAGGAAATCTATCTCCTGCATAATATGATGAAACTTCAAGAGCGGTTAATGTTTACAGAAATATATCAAAATTAAACCATCTGATAACAATTTAAATAGCTCCTAGAGAACAACTGCCACTTTAGAGGGGCAGATTTATGGATGAAGACTAAAAAATTCCAAGGAACAGATAATGCTGGTGTATCAAGGATGTTACTATAACCATAATATATAACCTCTTCCAGGTCACAAAAATGACAAGTTACTAAATTTATTATGGGTGGTTATAATCTCAAATAGTCATTTATAATAATGGAAAAAAAATAAAGCTAAGAGATTCTTTTAACAATGGATTTGAAAAATATCTCAGGTAGATTTCTAGCAGATACATCCAACGATAGAAAGGTAAATAGAAGACATAAAGGTTATTCAATCTGTCTATACCTCAGTTTCCTCATCTGTGATGTGGCCAGGCCAAGAGAACAAGGATACCTCATCTAAACTCCATGATTCCTGAGAGATACAGAAAATGAATCCCACCTATATTTTTGGCTCCAAAGTTGGGCTGTAATGGCCAATGAGAAAGTAGGTAACACATGGACCACTAAATCATGGAGCAGTACTTTGAGTGGGAGGCAAGGCTGAAAAGGATGGAATTTAAACAAAAGACAAATTTAAGTGTCCCAAGGAACAATAATGCTTACTGAAATTTCTTAGGACTGACATATTTGTGAATGGAACTTACTGTGGTCACTGCCTGGACATATTGAGCCTATAGAAAAGGTGCAAGGTCATTTACAATGAGGGGGGCAGCAATCCTGACAATGTATAGAAAAGACAAGTTCCTCCCTGTCTTCCTGTTCAGACGTCAGAAAGGTAAGTGTATAAAGTGAAGTTTGGAGTTCAAGAAACTAGCTCATGCCTTCACTAAACATACACACACACACAGCCTCCTATCTAACCTGCACTGGTGGATAAGAGGACTGTTTTAATAACTTAAAATGGCCAAAACATTATGGACTAAATTGAGATGAATTCAGTGGAAAGGCAGGTTTTCAACAAATTGCAGTTGGTAGCAGTAGTGAGACTTTAGAATATATATATTTAAATGATTTGAGACCTCTTACTAAACCAGTTAAATATTTTATGTAATCCTCACAACAATCTGTCATCAAAATGAAAATAAAAAATATAAATAGTTTTTTTCAAAAGATAAACAAAGGATAAAAGAGATAGACCAAAAACAGACACTTAATATAGAGAACAAACTGGTGGTTACCAGAGGGAAAGTTGGTGGGGGGATGGGTGAAATAGGTGAAGGGGATTAAGAATACACTTATCATGATGAGCACTGAGTAATGCATAGAATTGCTGAGTCATAATATTGCACACCTGAAACTAATATAACATATGTTAGTTACTCTGGGGAATTAAAATTTTTAAAATAAATAAATAAAACAATCTGTCATTAACAGTCAATATTAGCTCCATTTTAAAGATTTGGAGGAAAAGACCCAGAGAAGTAAGGTCATACAGGCAATAAAGAGCTAGGATTCAGATCTAATCCCTATGATCCCAAAACCCATTCTTTTCCCATCATGCTTTTCAATATGTT